AGTTTGTTTCTAAGCCATTAGAAATGGAATTTGGCATTTAAAGCATGAAAACAATTAAAGTCAATGTCGTTAAATTCAATGCAAGAATTTTGTTATTGCTAGCCACTAATACTACAGATCGTAAATGTGTTTTGTTAACATTAAATATGTGTGTTGTTTTAAACTTCACTGACGTCATAAATGTTGTCGTCGTATGACTTGTTTATTTCAGTGCAGTTTTTAAATATATCGATATACATATCGTCGGCTTATTGCAAGAAGTCATTAAGTGACATATTCATTATTTTGGGAAAACGGCATTTTAGTTGGAATTAGTTAGTGATTATGTTGATTAGCCCATATTATCCTTCATACATAACTACAGTGAGAAAAACTGAATGTTTTGGATTGCTTAATATGTATATTAATTAAAACAAGTGAGAGTCGGTAATCATATAACATTATATATTATTTATAAACTAAAACTAAAAGTTAATGACTTCTTGCTACTGTAAGTCGGTTTTATATGTGAATTAATTATTTCTTAAATTAAAATAAACCAACAAAATACTTATCAAATCTTATTGAAATAAACAAAAACGAATATTAACATAATAATCAAAAACATTTTTTTCATAACAGTTGACGTAAGAACTTACAATAGCTAATATTGCCAAGTACTCACGACAACTTCGCAGTCTCAAAAGTTGTACATAATTTTATTTTTATTTTATTGCTTAGATGGGTGTACGAGTTCACAGCTCACCTGGTATTAAGTGGTTACTGGAGCCCATTGACATCTACAATGTAAATGCGCCACCCACCTTGAGATATAAGTTCTAAGGTATCAGTATGGTCACAACGCTGCCCCACCTATATAGAGGAGGGCCATTTGGATTGTTGATAATCCCATCCTCACGTATCGTTTGGAACCTCTGGGTCTGCGGAGGACTTCGGTTCCCTCTGTATTTTGTACCGTATGTTCCATGGGGAGTGCTCTGAGGAATTGTTCGAGATGATACCGGCATCTCGTTTTTACCATCGCACCGCCCGCCACCGGAGTAGAGTTCATCCATACTATCTGGAGCCACTACGGTCATCTGCAGTGCGTTTCCAGAGATCTTTTTTGCCACGTACCATCCGGCTATGGAATGAGCTCCCCTCCACGGTGTTTTACGAGCGCTATGACATGTCCTTCTTCAAACGAGGCTTGTGGAGAGTATTAAACGGTAGGCAGCGGCTTGGCTCTGCCTCATTGCTGAAGTCCATGGGCGACGGTAAACACTCACCATCAGGTGGACCGTATGCACGTCTGCCTACAAGGGCAATTAAAAAAAAACCCTTGAAGCCGAAACGCATTTCTGCTTCGCGGCAGAAATAGGCGGGGTTGTGGTACCCACCCGTACGGACTCACAAGAAGTCCTACCACCAGTAATTACGCAAATTATAATTATGCGAGTTTATTACACGATATTATTCCTTCACCGTGGAAGTAGATCGTGAACATATTTTGTTAAGTACGTATTTCATCAGAAAAATTGGTACCCGCCTGCGGGATTCGAACCCCAGTGCATCGCTAGATACGAATGCACCGGACGTCTTATCTTTTAGGCCACGACGACTTAAATAATAAACTAAAAATAATTTTCTTCTCCCTGTTAGTCAATCACTCATGTATTCATTCAATCATGTATTTTTTATGAAAATTAGGAATTGAGCTTAAACACCGTACAAAAACATAAAAAAAATAAAAAAAATATCTAGGTTAAAAAAATCTGTATCAGAGGTTTTTTCTTCAGGAAGATAATTCTTTATCAGGTATATTATTATACCAATGGTGTAGCTCTGCAGGCTAGGTCTTTAAAATTGGAAACGTAGTCATACCTATATTGAACAATTTTAAGTCGGTTTTTCCAAGCTTGAAGCATTTAACCTTCAAACACTGTAGTCCTACAGTGTCAATTGACTTATTAAACATTAATTTGTTTCTCAACTCTTTTAGGCTCAAGATATCAGAGTGGCTCATTACTATAGGTTCATACGGCGTCTTTGCTGTTTTTTTTCTTTTTTAGCTTTCTGTTCGATCTAGCCAATCTTAAAACATTACAGAGGTCTATCATAGAAAAAATTGGCATAAGACACATTTGATTCTCGATAGAACTATGCATATTATCGACCTCCATATTATGTGTGTGGCCCAATTCTAAATACTTACGTTCAACCACCTCAAGGTGGGTAACTTGAACTAAGTATAGCATTAAGCATAACAGAAACTGATTACGTTCTTGCATCAGCTCGCTGAGTTTCTCGCCGGGTCTTCTCAGTGGGTTGCGATTCCGATCCGGTAGTAGATTCATTCACGAAGCAGCTGTTCTTGAGTTGTTAGGTCTTCTTCGGAGGCGCACGGACAGCTGTTAGCAAATCCCACCCCTCTTGGCTGAGCCTTTGCTAGCCCACATGTCCTGGTGAATCTGGAAAGGCCTCCGGGCCACCAGTAATCCTTCAATCCTAAAAAAATATAAAAAAGCCTGTCTGGTGTTACAGTGATTACTGCAGCTCATAGAGATCCAACGTGAAAGCCACCACCCATCTTGAGACCCGAAATCTAAATCTAAATTGTTCCGTATGCTGCTTCGCTTCGATGGTGGTACCAACTCGTACGGGCTTGCCATACGCCATACCAACCATCCTATCAGTAAATACAAGTTGGCAATCGTAGTCCACTGGTATGATTCTCAGATAACGATGTTGCCCGTTCTCCAGTGTATCATTTAACATCTTCTACACCCGTGGAAAGAATGATGCTATTGTAGGTCAGGTGTTTGCTTGCTAGGTTGTGCGAAGGTTGTTCAGAACTTCAATTGCTCCAACATCTTGCTTCCTCGTCCTTGTTTGAAACATTTATTTCGTTGCATTTTGTCAGAAATCATTAACTTCTATAACAGGCGTGGTAATCAACGTATCTCGCCGCAAACTGAGCGAGCGAGGCAGTACTCTTTCGTCCCGCGCAAACCCACCCTCACCCGCGTTCGTCGGTTTCGTCTTATGCCCCGTGTTCCCTAGACAAGCTGTTTTGTCCCATTTCACCAAACCCTATATAACTCATTAAACTACAACCGAGGAACCACGTAGCCTGCAAGAAGTTACTATGTTCTTTTAATCGATGTTAACTTATTAAAATCATGCCATCAACAAAATGGAAAAAATAATGAAAAAGAATAAATGATTTTATGGAAATCTTAATATTATGATTTATATTATATTAATATCGATAAAAATCATTAAGATTACTTATTGTGCATTTGTGATGAAATGATTCATTACAGAAACTAACTAAATGTAAATAATGAATTTTATCGAAATGCAATTTTAAGCTATATTATACTACACTGTTTTGATAAAATTAATTAGATGCTGAAAATGAGTTCTGTAATGTAATGTATACTGTTTTCAAATAATTATCCATTTAATAAAAATAACTAGTGCTGCTTAGTGAATCTTTGTAAATGCCTGACTTCCAAAGTTGCAATTATCAATTTTCTACCAAAGACGTAGCTGCTAAAATTGGCCAGCTAGAAATTAGTGTGTTTTTGGATTTTGTAGAATATGCAAAAATGAGCCCATTATAGATAAAAACGCATTTAGTGATTTTTTGCAGTTAATGAGTTCTTGCAATAAGCCGACGATATATTCATTGGCCTGTTTTTTTTTCTTTTTCAGAAAATTACTTTAGTACCGATTTAGAAGTTATTGCAACTACGTCCAAAGACTTAAGATATCTTAAGTCTGTGGAAGTATTAGATGAATTCAAATTTTAGAAAAGGAATTCAGTTTTGTAGCCCTCCAAACACTGTTTAACTTAAAAAAAATATTATCTTACAATTTTTATAGCCAAAATAAATAGTTTCTTCTTCAAGCCGTTTGTGGGTAGCAAAAATACTCTGTTCCAGTTGCGATTTTTTTCTCAGTTACAAAACTGACAAAGACCTGACTTAGCACATATCTAAAATAGTTTACTTCGTTTATTGCACGATTCGTTTAATTTTTCATAATGAAATTTCACTGAAATAAGATTTCAAATTGAGCATGGAAAATGTAAGTCGCAAATACTCGAGTTTCAGTAGAATCAAGAGACATAAGAGAGAGACAAGACACATCAAGAGACAGACAAGAAACCAGAACTGTTAAAAATACCTAAGCGAACGATTGTAAATGAGTAATACAAATGGTACAAGAAAACTACAAGTATTTCTTAGTAACTAAGTGAATATTTTACTAGTTACAGTAGCAGAAGTGGCGCTATGTGGCTCAATTCGTGCAAGGTTAAAGTTTATTATTCAATTACGTCTCCAAGTAGATACAACTTTATTTGTGATGGGTTGATTAAGACTTTCCCTGCAATCCAAATAGTGTAAGCTGTACAACAATTGGCCCTATAAGCTTCAAAACAAATAAATAATTGTAACTGATGTTAAATAGCATCGAAGCCTGACGTAAAATATATGCACTATTACGCTATATAAAATATAGTATAATAGTGATGGATCTTCCAAACTATTTAAATAAATTGGAATAAACTCTTTTTTGACCTTTTTTAAGATGGAATGATAATTCGAGAATGTTTTGGTCTATCCGAAAACGCATATGGTAGTGTGATTAGTCATCGTATTACATGAATTAATTTTACTTTCACGTTTATAGCTAGGATCCTTTGTAAATGTATCATCATCATCGGCCTATAGCGGTCCACTGTTGGACACAGGCCTTTCCAATTGCTTGCCACTGAGCACGGCGTTATAATGTTTAAAAAATTTGATCAGATCGAATCAGAACTTTGCGTCATTCTTTTTGATTGCCGCAATATTTGCCACGGAAGTAATCTTGATAAATGTGACAGAGATAGTAAAATAAAAAAAGTAAACTTTGGCTGCGCAAACCATTTTATACTATAATTTTCATGTTGAACGTGATGTCATTGCAGTTGTCTATTATTATTTCCCATAAAGTGGTCAAGTACTTACTCAAAAGAGAGCTCCTTTACAATGATATATGACTCCGGGATGAAATCTGAAACAAACATAATATATTATACAAACATAAATTTATTAGATTGATGATGGACAAGTATACGTACGTATCAATTTTAAATCAATTAAGGACTGACATTTTATCGTGATCGTGAAGAGTTTTCTCCCTGAACTCTGGTTATTTAATCAACCACAGCGGCGCATATGAATCAATTCAATAAAGTTGAAAGTATGGAAGCGCAAATTAATTTATTGGATCCTATAACGATCGTATATTAAAAGATAGCAGCCACCTCGGCGCAAATATGTTATTTATGTTGCAAATTTCCCAGTCAAGAGTCGAAATAATAATGAAGTTGCGGCGGGATTCCTGCAATGTTTTCGGGTCCATCGCGATTCTACTTATATGATTCGCTATTGTCCAACGAGATAAAAAGCTGCGTTTTAAAAACTCCATTATGGGTCGGCTTCGCGTTGACACAATACGCATTAACCAACAAAATGAGAGCCTTGTAGCTAGTTACGGAAATAAAAGTCGTTATTATGAATTGCGCGGCGATGGTGGCACGGGCGCCGGGCGGGACCAGGTAAACACTGTTATTTGCATTACACGCCCCGGCCCTTGGCTAGGATTTGTGACATCCGCCGGTAAGCTCAGCGAACGCTCTCTCACGGCGTCTCTAATTATTGTTGAATTCATTACGGCGCAGGTGACATGTACAAGATTGGATTTTGTGAAAATATCTTTACAGGGTTTATTCCAAGGCTAGTCTCAGTCTTATTTTATTTCTAGCTGCCTGATTTTTTGTCTGCCTTGCGTTTGATATGTTTAGTCTTTAGAACGTTTCGTTGCTTTTTTGTCTAATATTTGTAATACTGTTTGGTTACTGTTGCGGTAAAAATCTTCTAAGACTTTCCAACTGAACGAACTTTTTTACTGTCAAAGCTTGACAGACGGCCTTATGGCCTACCTGCTATTAAATTGCCACCGGAGTCAGTACATACCATAAACTAAATGCCACTACCAGCCTTATTATGCGCGGTCTCAATTGTATCGATAAAGGCTATCTCACTCTTCTCGCGTCCATGCTACGGCAGAAATAGACAAGATGATGGTATCTACCCGTGCGGACTCACAATACGCCCTAGAACGAATATTTGTTTACGTAACTTCAATAATGCTATTTCCAAATTTTCTTTCAAGTCTTTTCAATGAATATGATCAATCAGCCAGGGTTTGATTTTGAGCTTAGTTGTAAAATAATTAAAGTCGACTTGGTTTAAGCCGTTATTGCTATGGATATTACGTAAAAGAATCTGAAATGACAAGTGGTGACATAGTTTTAAACACACTTCGTGAAGCCAACCGCGTCGGAGTGAAAGCTAAGACACAAAAGCCCTTTTATTTAAAGGCTATTGCGGACCTCACTTTTACGTAAATATAGTTTAGAGGCTTAATTTATTTCTCACAAAACGTAACGAACAAAGCATTTTTCATAACTCCTGGATGAACTAATGTCATATTGTTCAACAAACAAAGATAATAAGTTAGATCGTCTTAATTTACGGACGTAATATACCCATATTATGTAGGGAATGGGAGATTATCCCGTTTAAGATAACTAGTTGTGCCAACACTGGTGTGGCTTGCTCATAAATTTATGAAAATTTATTGCATGGAAGATATTTAGATATTTAGAATAGGTATATCGAATTAGTTAATGTTTTTAGTCGTTGTGAGAGCTTAGTCTGAGCATATTTAAAATCTTCATTCGCTGTCTGTATGAATAGATATATTTATCGCTCAGAATTAACGGGATTAAAATTACATTGTGTAATAATTTATCTGTTCTATAACTATCAACAAGTTTATCGAAGGTAAGTTAAAGGGGATAACATTATCATAAGTGGTAGTCCAAAACTTTGGTAAGAGACATGAGAAAAAAAAAAACTTTAAAACAAGAATTTTATTAGTTAAGTTATAACGTGCTTTCAAAACTCAATTCAAGTGCGCGGCACGTCGTACGTAAAACTCGACGAAAGTATGACGATGACAAAAGCACGTGCGCGCCCGAACCTTCCAAACTTCCCGAAGGACACTGCGATGTTATTTAGGGGCGCTTCTGAAAGGTAAGGTGTGTCGCCTGGAGCCCGAGGGAATTCACTACGCTTTAAAGCTGGTAATTTGATGTGAGTCTTTCGAGATTTTTCCATCTTCTCGAGTCATTCAGGGAGCGGGCGGATTAGGCCACGCACGGCATGGGCGAGGGCGGCGACACGCCAGATTAATGTTGCGAGCTTTGCGCCAAATTTAAAATGTCACGTTCCATTTTTCCAGCCGACAAAGACTATGTTCAGTCAGCGAGCCCACTGCTTAACACATCCGACTCTTGCACACTCCTTAAATAAAAATTATGGTTTTTACAGAAAATCCGTTGAAATTGTATATACTGGTGTATTCTAATGTCTTTATAGACATTTTCTTTTATTCTTGTATGTTTAAATGTATTCATTTAATAAGCAGTAGTTAGCACAGTACTACATTATTTCAATGTTCTCATATGATTTATTGAATAACTCTTTTCTAAAGTCTAATTCAAACAGGAGATGTACTTAAGCGTCCTTAAAGCAATACCAGTATTTAATAAAACGAAAAAAAAGTTACTAGTTACCAAAACAAATTTTAAAAACATATTATCTTGAGTGTAACCAACATGGTAACAGGGCGTACGAAAAAAGGCAAAGTCGTAAAACTGGCGCCCACCAATCGCCAAATAAGGCCGGCGCGGCACCGGCGAGCCGCGTGGAGTCGTCCTTGACTCCCGGCCAAATGACATAAGTTGGCCCATGGGCGCGGATTCTTGACTAATCGATAAACAAGGCGGAATAGATGAAGACCTCAACAGTGGAATTGCCACACCCACGTTTGACTATTAACTTTTCGTCTATTTTGGCGAAGATCCATAAAAGTCTTATTGTTAGTTAAGAATACAATCACCAAGGTTTCTATGTTTATTAAACTGAAGTGAAGCATCTGTTATGATTACTCAGTTATGTAATTGTCATAATTTGTACTAGTTTCTGTGTAGGTAAATAAATATAAGGTGAGATGACAATGAAATTAAAGTTTGAATTAGCTACCAAGTCTATTAGGTAAATATATTTTCGGGCAACCCACAGGGTTTCGTGGTTATTTGAGCCTATCTGCACAGTAACGGGAATACTGTCGTCCGCCTTGCGAAATAAAGTCGAAGGCTTAAGGTTGGGATACCACCCTCACCTGTTTATTTCTTACCAGCAAGGACGGCAGTAGTGACGGTTTTGGTTATAGTCAAAGTGATCTGTATTTGGGAGCGTACTCATCTTTATAAATTACTTATCCGACATAACGTTGTCGGTGAGCAGATAATAAAAACTTTTCCAATTTTCATATAAGTAACTGAAGTCAATGTTCGTAAAGAGTCTTAATTTTAATAATTTCATTTTTATAGTGTATGCGAGTGCGTGCCCGTAACAGCTATAAATGTGCGTGAGGGTAGAAATTGATGCGTTAGGATATGGTGTAAATTTTCAGCTTATTATCGCAGCCTTGAATTTTAATAGGCGTAATGGGCTTAACTTGACCCACTTTCGTCACGATCCTTGAAACTATATATAGGTTTTAAATATTCTTCAAAATATTGTTGTTGTTAATGTAAAATTTTTGTCTACGAAATCTTTTGTGTCATATTTCGTCCAAATCTGTAAGATGCGAACTCAGCATCAACTTAAATTCAATTGATAAATGTAAATAAAATAAATAATCGGGGTTCAATACATGCACTCTAATTTGGCCAAAAACTATGATATACTACTCCATATACTAAAGGAACTAGACAAATACCTATACATAATTGAAACGGTTTCATCATGATTTGGAAGGAATAGTTTCTAGTATAAAATGAAATCCAAGGAAGAATATATTTTCTTGATATAGAAAGCAGACGAGCCTACGTACGACCCATATGATGGTAAGCGATTTACGGATCATCCTTAATCAATGCCAGAGACACAGATAATAGACTGTCCCTTGTTTTTTAAACTCGAATAAAGAGGATTATATCATAGCTCTCAGGAATCAATCACCGTGGACCCCTTCAGTTCATTCCAGACCAGGATGGATGGTTGGTAACAAAAATTATCTCTTTAAAACGCATTGTAGATGCATGCAATGCAGATTCTCCGAGTATAATAAAACGGATGAACTCTAATGATGTCGCAAATGATGAAAAAGAAAAATCACTAGATCATCTCAAGCAATATCTCAGGATTCCCGTGGAACGGGTACAGATGCGGCACAGAACCTAAAGAGTTGACTTTTTTTATTTTTTTATTGCTTAGATGGATGGACGAGCTCACAGCCCACCTGGTGTTAAGTGGTTACTGGAGCCCATAGACATCTACAACGTAAATGCGCCACCCACCTCGAGATATAAGCTCTAAGATCTCAGTATAGTTACAACGGCTACCCCACCCTTCGAACCGAAACGCATTACTGCTTCACGGCGGAAATAGGCGGATGGTGGTACCTACCCGTGCGGATTCCCAAGAGGTCCTACCACCAGTGATTACGCAAATTATAATTTTGCGGGTTTGATTTTTATTACACGATGTTATTCCGTCATCGTGGAAATCAATCGTGAACATTTGTTGAGTACGTATTTCATTAGAAAAATTGGTACCCGCCTGCGGGATTCGAACACCGGTGCATCGCTACATACGAATGCACCGGACGTCTTATCCTTTAGGCCACAACGACTTCCATAATGACTTTATCAAACATTTCAGTTTACAAGTGCAGATTTGTAAAGCTAGTTAGTTAATTACATTAATGAAAGTATTAGCATGCCGAGCGACTGTCGCCAATGTCAAGTTCATTAGAACGCACCCACGTGCTCGCCTCTGGGCTGCAGCGAGGTGACTGACTTCGCCATATAGGAACAGCGACATTTATAGAACCGTAATTAGTTCTTCGCGTAATTCCATCGGGCAATAGATTAA